TTTATAGTAAATAAAAAATATTTTATTTAAGAAAAGGTCAATTAATAATATTTTCAAAATGTCCCCCTCCTTGTTGAATGCAGGCTTGTGCCCGTAAGCCAACAGATGACATAGTTATCCGTATTTGACCCTTGTTTTGTCGTATTTGTTCGGCAGCCTGCTGCATTCACTCTAATAATACTTCTTTTGTATTTGAAATAAAAATCAAGGGAATTGTGAAAGGGTGATCTAGGTGGCCAGGCAACAGGACCACCTCGACCAATCCATCTTGGGTAATTGACGGTAACCCAATTTCGGATAGCAATTCCGAAATGTGGTGGGACGTCCTCCAAAAGCCCTTGCAGTTCGTCAATAAGAAATTGAAGGAATTGGCCGCATTTAACCTCGCAGGAAGAACGACAGGACCAATCAACAAGTCATCGATTAGGGCAGCCTAAACGTTAACAGAGAATTCATGTTGAAACTTAGATGTGCATACAGCTTTGGGATGCCCACCTACGCAGGTTTCTCAGATTTGTAACACCACTCCTTGTGAATGTAGCTTCATCTGTCCAGAGGACTATTCTGCAGATATTAAATTTAAGCCGTGACTGTCTTAATATTCAGGTAGAATAAACTAGACAAGCATAGTGGTCTGCCTCAGCCAAACCTTTCCCCTTGCAATAATGATACGGATGTAAGTCTTCACGTTTTAAAATTCCCCGTCATTAGCGGCACTTAAAGTTGTCTAGAGATTCGACACTAATAGTTGGATTCCTTGCAACAGTATCTAATAGTTGTTTATCCAAGTCTGCTTGTAAATTCACTGCTTGACGTGCACTGTCGTTACAGTAAACAAGTTTGCATACTCTTGAGAAGACAATCGGTAAGGCATTTTGATAAAGAAAACGTTTGCAGTCAATAAGAAGCTGCTGTCTGCACTGAAACTTATGACCACTGTGTGCCACTGTCAGTAATTCTTAATTAAAAAAATCAACCTTCACAATAATCTGAATAATTTGTTTATTTTGGTTTATTTTACTTTAGTGGTTGAGCATTTCCTGAAAGAACTAACAGCCCTGTTTATCACAAATATGTTTAGTTTTTGTTTGTGATCTCCAAAGAAATGTAGTAGTTTTTATTTACTTTACGGATTCATTTTTATTATTATCATCAAATAATATTCATAGGCGTGTACCACTGAAACAAATAAACATGGATATACAAGTTTTGCATTATTTTTACTTGAAAAGAAGTGTAGTTTACGCTCCCAAAATTTGAACATAACGATACGGGACACCTTAAAAAAAGACAATAGGTCTATAGCTTATACGAAAAATAATATGTTTTATGTTCTATCTTTTACTGAATTAATTTAATTTATTGTTCCCTTATAGGTATAAATTACGACATAGTTATATAGTCCTTCCGAAGTCAGTTGAATGTGCAAAAAAACGTCTGGTAATAAAATTTAATTAGTTTCATAGGCTTCCCTAAAAACATTTTCTGCTAAAGGTAAAAAATTATAATAATTTGTATATAATGTGAAGAAAATTTCTATTATATTTGGCCAACAGCAGATTTTAATTATTTATGTCCTCAAACAATTTTATTATATTTGTGGTAAATTTTGTTTTGTTTCGTTTCAAAAGGTCTCCAAAATGCCATGTTGTGATAATATTAGTAAACAAAATATCCCTCCTATTTCTCCCTTTGGCAATTGTAATATGAATGATTGATAGAAGGTGCCTATAATAAATTAAAATTGCCCGATTCACACTGTAGTATAACAACCCCTGGTTCGATCGAAAAAAATTAGTAAACGTAGTTGTGGCCAGAAATATGTGGTCGTCATGAGGAATACCTACGTTGTATGTTTCTATTTTTTTAATTGACCGGAAGGCGCTGGCTACTAACTTTAAATAGGGGAAGTATGGTTTAATTTTATAAAACAAAAGCAAAGTAAATACACCCAACTTTATTATTTACGTACAACAGTCCTCAAATTAAGCATGTGACAAATAGAAAGAACAACAAAAACATTAACAACCATTTAACATAAAATGAGAGTGCCAGGCTCACCTAGAGCTCCTGTGGGGAAAGAGCATGGCAGAGAAACCCACGATC